GCTGCTCTGCAATCCCTTAGGTATGCAATTCAAATCCAACAGATGCTCTGCTGGAGAAGGAGGGGCAATATCCTCCTGTACCAGTCAGATCCAATTTGACGGTACATAAAAAAAAACATAAAAAAGAAAAGAGAAAAATACTCAAGCACCACAACAAGATAAAGGTGGACAACTCAATAGAAAAATGGGCACAAGGATATGAACAGACACTTCACCAAAGAAGATATTCAGATGGCGAACAAACACATGAAGAAATGTTCAAAATCTCTAGCTCTAAGAGAGATGCGAATCAAAATAACTATGAGATACCATCTCACCGCAGGAGGAATAGCAAAATTTAATAAAGTAGCAAACAACAAATGCTGGAGAGGTTGCAGAGAACCTGGAACCCTTATTAACTGTTGGTGGGAGTGTAAAATGGTGTAACCACTATGGAAGGCAGTATGGCACTTTCTCAAAAAGTTGGAAATAGAAATACCATTTGATCCAGCAATTCCAATACTGGGAATATACCCTAAAGAAACCATAACTGCCACCAAGCACACCCATATTTACTGCTGCTTTGTTTACAATAGCAAAGAGTTGAATACAACCCAAGTGCCCATCAACAAACGAATGAACAGAGAAATTGTGGTATATTCACACAATGGAATATTATGCTGCATTGAAACACAAGGAACTCATGAAATATTATACAAATGGGAGACCCCGGAGGACATTATGCTGAGTGAAATATCTCAGTCACAAAAGGACAAATACTGCATAGTATCACTGTTGTAAAGCGGGACTGACATCAGAGTTGGGGAAAAACTAAGAGGAGAGAAATAATATATACTGCACTGTAACAGATGAGGGAGAGAACTGTTTAGAAGGAATTTATGATTAGGCATTATTGTCAAGAGAAGAGTCCAGAATAAAAGCTGCACAGTGGAGGGATTATATGACAATGAAATTTAAATTTTTTTACTTTTCAAAGAGAAAAGCAAACTGGGGGGGAGGGGTGGGCAGGGAGTAAAGTGTGCAACAATGGATGAATGGAAATCCAAAGTCTCTGTAAACTTTCATTTAAAAACTTTTAAAAAACCATAAAAAAAGAAAATGGACAGGAATGAATATCTCCTTTTTTTACAGATCACTGATCCTTTCCAAACAGCAGTGCTACCAGTCTCACCTTAAAATATTCACCTCCAAAGGCCCAGTTGCCAAGCATCTCAAAGAAGGTGTGATGGGAGAGGTCTCGGCCCACGTCCTCCAGGTCGTTGTGGCGTCCCCCAGCCCTTACACACTTCTGACTGTTGGCCACACGTCGGAAGCCTGCCATCTCGCTTCGTGGGTCCACGGTGCCCAGGAAGATCGGTTTGAACTAGAAGCACCAGACAGACTGTTTAGCTTGAAGGCTGATTGTGCCCAAGAACATAATGTGGTTGTGGTTTCGGGGGGTGGGGGGTAACCTTGGAGGCTGTGGTGCCCCATCTCTGCTTTGTGGTGCAGGGGAGGGGTAAAGGTATCATGAGATAGAGACCCCTCTGTTAGGCAAATAGACAAGATGAAAGAAGCCATGTGCTGGTGGCTGGGAACAAACACACCACACTCCAAAGCTACAATCTTCATTTGTCTTTTCAACCACGTGCAGTAGTAATTAGAGAGTACAAAATTTGAGATCACAAGGTTCTTCTGGGAATTCCTAGAATGTTAACATTTTAGTGGCGATCTTGGGCAACTTCCATGGTTAACCTACTCTCTCATTTTACAGATGATGACAATGACATCTTGAAAGGGTAAATGTTTGTTCAAAGTCCGCTTACAGAGCAGTGCCCAGCACACAGAAACTTATTAATGGATGAGTTTATAAATAAAAGCATGAATAAATAAAACGGACTTTCCCTCAATGGGAGTGCCTAAAACTAGGCCCCAATTGAAAGGCTCTCAGGTCCATTCCACCCTAAAACCCTTTCCCAATAATTCTGCCCATCCATGCACTGTCCTCTTTCATGCAAACCACGAGCTCTGCCCCCCGATTCTTTTGTCCAATTGCGACGCTCTTTCACTCCGAAAATGTCATAAACTCCGCCCCCAGGCAGCAGGGCTCCGTACCCACCTGGTTCATCCCTGCATTGACAAAAAGCAAGCTGGGGTCGCCACGGGGCCGCACGGAAGCAGAAGGCAGCAGCTTGTGTCCATGGCGGTCGCGAAAGAAACTCAGGAAAGCATCCCGCACGGCCGTAGCCGGGATTGGAGGGGGCTCCGATGAGAGTGGCCGATGGCTGAGACCTTGCCATGAGAGCGACCTTCTAAGGGCCCGTCGCAGCCGCCGGGCTGCAGCAGCAACCGACGCAGCCATCTTTGCTCCGGGCAGGCACTTCTAGGTTAGAGGGCATCGGCAGAGCTAGAAGGTAACTCCCGCATTTCAGGATATTCAGACGTTTCCTGCAGCGTCCCCTGTCGGTAGGAGGTCTGAGACCTGCTCAAACTAAGTCGGCTCAGACTCATACTCAGAACTCAAATCATTGCCACCCAGTCGGAATTGACTCACCAGAAGATTTTCAGAGGCTGTAAATCGCATGGAAGGAGATTGACGTCAGTCTCCTGCGAATCATATGGTGAATTCAAGCTGCTTGCTTTTGGGTTAGCAGCACAGTTCTCTACCCACTAGACCACCAGAGTTCCCTCATAGGCTATTCTATATAGTTTTCAAGGTTGTAATTTTTTTAAATTTTTTTATTAATTTGAATAAACATTTACAGAGGTTTTGGATTTCCATTCATTCATTGCCGCACTTTTCTCCCTCCCCACCCCTCCCC